GTACGCCTGGCGCACATGTACTTAGTCCTTGCTGAGTGCCTGAAACAGTTTCACTCCGGGACAGGCCTATTCGGTGCGTGGCCTAGTGGGCACTCGTTCCCCAAAGAGTCGATTCTCGACGCAGTGTAGAGTTCCCTCGAAAGGGAACGTCTCGGGTTATGACTATAACCCTTGTTCCCTGAGAAGGGAACGAGACACTGCGTCGTTCTGCCACGCCCCTTGAGGTCTTAGAGCGTCTTGCTTCATCGCGAGGCTGGTATGTGTGTGCGTCAGTGTCACTTTTATACTTCCGGTTATGCCGTCACATGTTACGTCAGGACGCAACGCCAATCAGGATTGGATTAGTTTCATTTTTACTTCAGAGGCGCACGCTGAGGGAGCGTCCCCAAAGAGTCGATTCTCGACGCAGTGTCTCGTTCCCTTCTCAGGGAACAAGGGTTATAGTCATAACCCGAGACGTTTTCTTTAGAATAGATGAGTGGATCTCAGATTTTACAATGGTTATCAAGCGGCAAAATAGTTAAACATCGTATCATTATTTAATGTAGATGTTTCCATAGTTTTAAAAGATGAGTGCATGTCTATATTTGCGACTAGTTTCTACCAAATTACAGAAGAATTTGGTGAAAAATACCACCTGATTATAGGTATCATAACTGTCTTTATCCCTACATACAATACATAGACATATTTGGTTGTTATCTTGATTGTATTTATTTATTTATTTAATTGTAATTTATTTAATTTGATTCTCTTTGAATGTTTTTTTTTTTCTAATCTCATTTATTATTAGTAGTTCCCTTTCGAGGAAACTCGAACTGCGTCGAATGACACTTTGGGGGAACGCCCCTCAGCGTAGCGGCTCTGAAGGATGAATGAAACTAAGCCAATCTCTGATTGGTGTTGCGTCATGACGTAATGTGTGACGGCATACAAGCGGAAGCTATAAAGGACGCCGACACACATGAGATGTCAGCTTTTTGCTCTTCAGCAAGTGCTCTGTGTACAAACTGTCTGTCCTATTTGGTGTTGTTTGTCCCTTAAGAATTGTCACAAATGAAGGTCTGCTTTGCAATATAGAATCTAGTGGCTCGGATCTCGCGTTTGCCGAGGCAGCGTGTAGATTACTAGTCTACTGCAATAAAGATAATGTGTGGGTGCGAGGCATGCACGGTCAGCACCTGAGGCTGTGTTCACTGATAAATATCTCCACGCACACAGTTAACGTGCGTTTTCGGGTGTCTCAGCCTCGCGCCCATTGACTTTCTTCTCGAGAGATGAAAGCCAAACATATTGTGAATGTGAACGACTCGAATCTCGCGTTTGCCGAGGCAGCGCGTAGATTACGAGTCTACTGCAATAAAGACACTGTATCAACACACACGATCTGTGAAATAATAATACTGTTTGGGTGCGAGGCATTCACAGTCAGCTCCCGAGGGTGCTGGGTGTGTTCATTGAGAAATATCTCGACGCGTACATGCGTGTATTGTGGATGTTTCAGCCTCGCACCTTTTAACTTTCTTCTCGAGGGATGAAAGTCAAATATATTGTAACGGCTCGAATCTCGCGTTTGCCGAGGCAGCGTGTTGATTACGAGACAGTATAACACATTAAAACAGTATTGTCTGATAATTATGCTGCACTGAATTTTAAGAAATTAAAATGAAGGAATACTATCTGACTTTATAAAGTTAGATATTTTAATCCAGCCTACCATTCAGACCATGTTTCACTTATCCTGTGTTTTTGGCTGCATTTAATTCTGAGGAATTAAAATGCTGGCGTCTACAAATAGGCGCAAAAGGAGAGCGTCGCTTCTAGAACCCCTCCTCAGGGAGCTTGGGGCATAGACGACGCTCTCAGGCGAAGCCCCAACAGCAGCAGGGCGACCTGGCTAAAAAGGCTTAGTCTAAGAGATCCTAGCCAGTCTAGGTTCTCTGTGGGTGGCCCCACCCGTGGCGGAGCGATCGAGGTCGCTTCCTCCGCGGAGCCCGCAGGAAATCGATGTCGACTTCCCGCCGCCAAGTGCGCTTCGGGACGCATCGGTTTCCAGCGAACGTGCACTGCACTGTCCGCCCCACAGGCTTTCGGCCAGGCAGCAATCACGTCCGCCCATCGAGAATCGTTTTCGGTCGATCCCTGCCGGGAATCCACTTCAGGGGGTCGAGAACGAATCCCGATTGGTACCCGAAGCCAGGCTCGAGAGCCTGGTTCCCTTGGTAAAATATTTTGATGCGTTGAAAAATCGTACGAATATTTCGCCCTGGGCCCTGCGCACTATTCAGAAGGGGTACAGGCTGCAGTTCGATTTCCGCCCACCAAGGTTCAACGGGGTGGTCTGGACTGCAGTCGACCCAGTGCAGAAAGAAAGAGCTCTGAGGAGCTTCCTGCCGGACCTCAAAGGACATCATGTCCTTGTGAGGTCAGACAATATGTCGGTAGTGGCCTATTTAAACCATCAGGGGGGTCTGAGGTCTCGCCCTCTATGCAGACTGGCGCATCAGATCCTCCTGTGGTCCCAGGGGAAACTGTTGTCTCTAAGAGCAACATATATATCCCAGGAAGTCAAAATCAGGGAGCAGACATCCTGTCGAGACAGGGGCTGAGGCCCGGGGAATGGAGACTCCACCCCGAGTGGAATAATATCTCAGAGGTTCGGCCCAGTGGAAGTGGACCTGTTCGCGTCTCAAGATACGACCCATTGTCCACTGTGGTTTTCCCTCACTTATCCAGCCCCGCTGGGGTTGGATGCCATGGTGCAAACGTGGCCGAGGCTGCGTCTGTATGCATTTCCCCCGATCGCTCTGCTCCCGGGAGTTCTAGAGAGGGTCCATCGCGACGGGATCAGTCTACTGCTGGTAGACCCGTTGTGGCCGGCCCGAGTATGGTTCTCAGACATTATATCGCTCCTAGACGGCCCTCAGTGGGAGATTCCTCTCAGGAGGGACCTGCTGACACAGGCAGAGGGCTCAATATTTCACCCTCGGCCCGAGTTATGGAAACTGTGGGTCTGGCCCCTGAGGGGGCACAGTACCTAGAGACCGGCCTATCAGCTGGAGTAGTGGAGACCATACTCAGCTCTACAGCTCCCTCCATGAGGAGATTGTACGGCTTAAAGTGGAATGTCTTTACCAATTGGTGTAGAGAGCGTGAGGTGGATCCAGTTCACTGCCCAGTGGCTTTAGTTCCGGAGTTCCTCCAAGATCGCTTTTCAGCTGGCCTTACCCCGTCCACACTCAACGTGTACGTGGCTGCCATTGTGGCTTTCCACGCTCCTCTGGGTGATGGACCTCTTGGGAGGCAGCAGTTGGTCGTATGTTTCCTCTGTGGGGCTTGGAGGATGAGACCTGCGGCTCGTACCAGGGTTCCCACTTGGGACCTGGCAGTGGTTATCGAAGGGCTGGCCGAGGCCCCCTTCGAACCACTGGAGTCTGCTGAGGCCAAGAACCTTTCCCTGAAGGTGTTTTTTCTGTTGGCCATAACTTCTCTGAGGAGGGTAGGAGATCTCCAAGCACTCTCCATATCTATCGGGTGCCTGGAGTTTGCTCCAGAAGACATTAAAGCCATCCTACATCCCAGGCCGGGCTATTTGCCTAAGGTGCCATCCAATGCGGCATGGCCAACGGTTCTACAGGCTTTTCATCCTCCACCTCACGTGACGGCGGATGAGGAGAGACTTCATCTGCTCTGTCCTGTCAGAGCTCTAAAAAATTATATTCAGAGGTCCTCTTCATGGCGGAAGTCAGACCAGTTGCTGGTGTGTTTTGGGTCGCCCAAGAAGGGACTTCCCGCCTCCAAACAAACCATTAGCAACTGGATTGTCCAGGCTATTTCTTTGGCCTACCAGGTGCGCAATTTGCCTTCACCTTTGGCCGTGAGGGCTCATTCAACCAGAGGCATGGCGTCCTCTAGAGCAGTGGTTCCCAAACCTGTCCTCAAGGCACCCCAACACTGCACGTTTTCTTTATCTCCCTAATCAAACACACCTGATTCAACTCATCAGCTCATTATCACATGGGTTAATGAGCTGATGAGTTGAATCAGATGTGTTTGATTAGGGAGATAAAGAAAACGTGCAGTGTTGGGGTGCCTTGAGGACAGGTTCAGGAACCACTGCTCTAGAGCCCTCCTCTCGGGGGCCCCCGATCCAGGAGGTCTGCGATGCAGCTGGATGTGCCACCCCCCATACCTTTATTAGGTTTTACAGTCTGGACATTCCGTCTACACCTGGCACTCTTGTGCTCTCTTCCTAAGTGTGCCTGTGAGCAGCTTCACACTGGGACAGGCAGGGTGCGTTGTGGCATAGTGGGTACTCGTTCCCCCAAAGTGTCATTCGACGCAGTTCTCGTTCCCTTTCTCAGGGAACAAGGGTTACAGTCGTAACCCAAGGACGTTTTATCTGGTTAATTATTCTTCACACTTCCTCTGCCTCATACTTTGAAAACCATTCTAGAATGTGTTTAAAAGTTTGGGTTCCAGAAAGATTTTCAAAATGTTTTTGAAAGAAGTCTCTTATGCTCACGAAGGTTGCATTTATTTGATCAAAAATACAGTAAAAACAATCATATTAGAGTTGTATGGCTTTTAGTTAATGCCTATTAGCTTCATATAGTCCATAGTAATGTACTCCTGAAAGTTAACAGCTGATAATAATAAAATCTGACTGAACTAAAACTTTTGAATGGTAGAGTATTCTAGATATTAAGAACATTTTAAAGTAATGAATGAAAGTTGAGTCGCCTGTGAAGAGACGACTCAATGCCGGCGATATGTTATGCCCTAAATTAATACATGATTAACTAACTATATTTTTCTATGTACATTTGCGAAATGCACTTTCTGTAAAGCTGCTTTGAAGCAATGCGTATTGTGAAAAGCGCCATACAAATAAATTTGAATTGAATTGAATTGAATCAAAAACAATATAATGACCTGATAACAATATACTTAATATATATATATATATATATATATATATATATATATACATATCCAACCTGTGCCTGTTGGATGAATCCTGCCACAGGCTGCCCCAACTTCTGGGTAGAGTTTTAGTCTGTCAATTAACAGCATGACTGCGGACGGCTGGAAATCAGTATCCCCATCCAGGGCCAAGATATACGTGTTCTCCTTGTCTCTCTAATTAGCATTAAAACATTCAGAGTCTATAGCTGATATTGTATTATTCTGTAGAAATACTAGAGGTGAATTTTAAAGTTAAACATCTAACCTTCAGTCTCTCCTTAAGGTCATCCAGTCCTTCTCTTGCATCAAACTTTTTGAAGTGTCTGTTAAGTCTCCAACCAAAAATGTAATACAAGTACATTATCTGCAAACACAGATGATTAGTGAAGATCTGGGTGCAAAACATCTGCACCTGTGTTTAGCTGCATGACCCTTACCTGATACCATCTTTTTTTGTGACGAATAAGTTGCTTGTCTTTGAAGTGAACCATCATCACATTGCCTTTAGGAAGGGTGTATTCCAGACGACCTCCATAGGGTGTGTTTATGATCTTCTGTGGCGTCTGCTTGAATATACATGGATCCTCCTCACTAAAAATGCTAATGCATGTGAAGTATTATTCGATTAGTTATTCCCATAAATTCGCAGTAACCATAAACAGATCAAAATAAAGAGGATTCTTACGTGTAAAGTTCTTTAATTACATCCACAATAATTTCAGCGTATTCATTTGCATGCCGCTGCCCTCCATTATGAACATCCATGAAAGCGTCATCAAAATAAATATGGAATTCAAACTGGACATTGCTATGATTGTCGCTTGTATTTACGCAGGGCCTGTATTTATCGAGCCTGGTAGTAAAATAAATAATTTTCAATTACAAGTACAATTCAATTGAGACTGAATAAGTAAGTGTATGTTGTTTACCTGAACATAGAGATGATTATCTTCATCATTTCATCGTAGGTCTCATGCCACATTGTTGCACACAGAAACACTCTGATAGTATCTTTTGTGCTGAGGAACACATATTTGATTTGATTTGATTAACTTTATTGTCTGTTCAGATTTACTGGACAGAAATTCATCTTTGACACTGGCTCTACAATCACATTACATACCACATAAAAAACACATAAGACATAATTAATACATACATGATAAGTTAAATTAATACAATGTGCATATTCACACACACCTATAAAAGCTATCTCAATTGAGAATTGAATTTAAAACAATAATCGCCAATGGAACAAATGATCTTTTATAAATATTCCTCTTGGCATACGGTATACGTAGCCTGCGCCCCGAAGGAAGGATCTCGAAGCAGGAGTGAAGGGGATGAGTCTGGTCTGAATATACTGCTGACGCCCTTTTCTCCAGAAAATGTGAGAATAGCTCTTGCAATGTACTCTGTTTTTGGCCGATAATCTTGTTTGCTTCATTAATTACTCGTGTTAATTTATTCTTCTGTTTCAATGTTAAATTACCATACCATGAAACAATATTATAAGTTAAAACACTTTCAATCATCGATCTATAAACAATAGTTAAGATTTCGATGTCAAAATTTCTTAACTTCCTAAGTAGACTTAAACGCTGTCTAGTTTTCTTATGTATAAAATCCACATTGTCCTGGAACGAAAGTTTATCATCAATGATTGTACCTAGGTATTTAAAATTTGAGACTTGCTCTATCTTTACGCCTTTTATGGTAACTTGTTCGTAAGGAAGGCCAGCTATGCCGTTCCTATTTTGATTCCCGCAACATAATTCCTTATTAAGAAATCCAAAGGAAAACTGTAATTGCTCAGAGGTTGCTCTCAGATACATATCATTTAATTACTAACATTTGTAAAATTAGAAGCAAGTGAATCAATTGTCAGTTGACATACAGTAAAAGTATAAAGCCACAAAATTACAGTGCATGGGATAGCCATGATAATTTGGATTTGGAAGAATGTGATATGACGTGTTTGAGTTCATATTAAAATTATTTTTATTCGAGTTTACTCAATCAATTCGAGTTTCATTGCAACACTCCATTTGCTCTCCTTTTAATCTCACTGATATCTTCACATTAAAAAAAAAATCTCATTTGTAAATTGTAACAAATTAACTGTGTAAAAGGCTTTAATTAAGATAAGTTTGTCTAATTTGTCTAAATATATTAAAAATAAAGCACTAAAGTAAAATATTTTTTTAATGACATAATGGGTATTTAATTAAATTATTAGTTATTAAATAATTAGTTTTTTTATAGATGGACATGAAGTAAGAGTCAGATCATATAAATGTAAAAAACAATGAGAATGCACCATTACATATTCAACATCGATACAGATTATTTAAAAATTTCTCATATTGGCTGATATTAACAATATGCAACCATACTCAGAAAGTTGAAACACTTACCCCTGGTCCTTGGTACTCTTTATAATTTCAAAACGGGTGTTCAGCAACATGGACTGTTCCAGAAACGCTCCTTCATACATGCGTCGCACGAACAGATCTTGGGTTCTTTCTATTCGATCGATCTTCCGAAACCAGATGTAACCAAATGTACTGAGCATGAATCCCGACCACCAGCTCAGAGCAGAGCAGATCAAGCACACCAGTCCTGTACTCATTTTTTCCACAATGTACCTGGCACGTAGAGTTTTTGTAGCATCAGTCAACATCAACAGCAACAATGTGTCAATGGATTTCGACTGAACGTTCTCAATACAAGTAGAAGTGTGATTAGACTCTGGGAGTTTAAAGGTGCCCTAGAATGTGTTTTTTTATTATTTTATAATGTTTCCTGGGTTACCCTTATAATGTTAGTATGTTTTTTAGATAAAAAATAATCATAATTTAGAAATAAATGGCATTTTTCCTAGCCTGCTTTTAGCCTCTGATTTGAACACTCTGTTTGAAGGGGCGTGTCTGCTGTGGGATTCAGTGCAACCGCGGCCACTGCTGTGATTGGCTGACATGCTTGCATATGAAATAGCAACGCATTACATGTGAAACTCTCTCCCGAATACTTTTACTACTGCTATTATACGTTTTTACTATAACAGCTATCGAGATTAACGAATCGTGAGATGTTTTTAAAGTATTTAGATCTATTCCCATCACATAAAATGTTGCCGTGATGAGCATTGAGCAGATGACAGTGTGTTGATCGCGAGAATGAAGATCTTATCATTGCAAAGCAGTTTCTGCCCTCTCTCTGCTTTCACCAATGCAAACACGATGATATAAATACAGTAAGAGCTTCGTTGTGCAGTAACATGCGTCATTGATTTCATAACGAGTTTGGCAAGTGTCCAGAAACTCGCGCTGTGTGGAAAGATTGTTCTTTGATCGCTTTCTGTATATAATTTGTTCACAATTTAAATACGATTATTTTCATCCTACTAAAAGAAACGATGTGAAGCTGATATTTTAGTCACTGGCTTGACTTACTGATGCATAAACAGTATTGAACGATTTTGAGAGAAAGATTACCTGTCTGAACATGAACAATTACACATCAGAAAGTGTTGCTTGGTAGCTCGATCCGAGGCCAGCTCTGTATTGGCCCAAGTTGAGGAAACAGTCGTGAAATGTTTGGAAATTTCCAGAGAAAATAAAATTAACCCATTGTTTCTTCAGAGGCTCAGATGAAGGAACTAAAAAATACTTTTGTGTTCATGTGTACATCCACACTGAGCAACTGCCATGCTTCGGCTGTGCAGTTCCGCCTGGCATTGAGGGCTGGCATTATGCAAATATTTGGAGGCGTACATATTAATGATCCCGACTATTGCGTCACAGTCGGTATTGTGTGGAGAACCGACCGTTTTTCAGGGGTGTTTTTCATAAACGTGAATTAAATGAGAACGCGAAAACAGTCCAGTTTGAGATTCACTCTATGTCATGTCCATGCACTGAACTCTTGTTATTTGACTATACCAAGGTAAATTCAATTTTGAATTATAGGTCACCTTTAAATGCAAGTGGAATCAAAAACACTGCCAAAACTGCAACCGAGGCCATGTATATGGGCAAGGCGAAGCTGCTGCGCAGGGAGTGCATCTTGCAAGCCACAACTACAAACCAGCGGCACAGCGCAGAGGATAAAATCTGGAGCACCACCAATGAAATAACGACCGTTTCGAATTTGACCAATTCCCAGTTCTGACCAGACAGAGGAACATATGCTCCAACCACAGATGAAGTAATCAGGATTCTCATCAAACTGGAGATGATGCACACCACATTACGGGACTGAGCGATGTCTTTAGAAATGTCACCTAGAAATGAAATGGAGAAGAGCGTGCTGTAGTTTTCCCACCAGTTCACAGAAACACAGATGGTGCCCACGATCGCAAGGCCAATTGATATTCTCATCTGAGGGGAATGTTCAATTGCCAGATAACTGACTGCAAAAAGCACATAACCCAGGACGATTAAGAAAATGGAGCATACGGGGAGCATTATAAGCCACTTCTTCTCTTTGGCGAGCCACTGAGCGACTACCTGGAACACTGCTGACAGGATGCTCACACTGTTTAGGATCATCACATTAGTGACAATGTCAAAGTTTGGCATGGTTACTATTGTTAGAATCGCAGCTCCCAATGCTACCAGGAACTCAACACACAGGACCTAGAGAAAAGATCAAATCAAAGTCAGAAAGGTTTCTGCCGTAACAATCAGTTCCCCATCGTTGTCACTCCGAGTTCCGTCGGATGACGAAGATTGGGGTTTCGCTTAGAAGCCTATCACCTTCGAGTATTACAAAACGAGCCAATGGCAAGAAAATGCCATGGGTCTGAAGAATTTGCATAGCGTAACTCCGCCCCGCGCTGTGCGTATATAAGGAAGTACGCTGCATCACGCAGTTATATTTTTGCTTCGGAGCCAAGAGATCCTCTTCACTCCTGCAGCCTGAATTCTCTCTGACTGTCACCAAGTATTCTTCGAGACGAGCAGCTTTCCAGTCTGTGTTGGTGCAAAGGCGATTCCAGCGAGTTTCACATTACTGCCTGCTGATCTGTGCAGTGGTCTGCATCCAGCATGTGTGTTTCTCCCTGGCCACTTCAGCGCAGGCTGCTGAGCGTCCTCTCACTAAAAGAGCTTGCACGTGGCACATCTTTTTAAAGATGTCTCGCCCGTGTATTTCTGGGTGCGGTCGTTCCGTCTCATCTTCTGATGGGCACGGGAGCTGCTTGGCGTGTTTGGGCTTACAGTTCTCACTGCGGGAACATGACCATCGCTGAGTTGAGGTCTAGACTCAGTGACCTCAATAGAGGTAGAGTCCTCTCTGCCACACCCCAATCTGTCCCCTCCTCGAGAGGCGACACTTTGGCTGGTGGCCAGGGTGACCTGAGGGTGACGGTGTGGAATTTCTTCCCCGACGATGCTTCCTCGGGCCACACCCCCCTCTGCTCCTCAGCAACCCGCGAGTTCCTCGAGATAATTTTAAGCGATTAGTTTTGCATTTTGGTACACGATGCAGCCCTTGTGCCACTCCGGTTACACGGGGTTCGCATCCTGAACTATCTCGACGACTGGCTTATCTTAGCTCACTCCCGAGACCAGGTTTGCGAACACAGAGACCTAGTGCTTCGGCACCTAGCCCATCTGGGCCTTCGGTTCAACTGGGAGAAGAGCAAACTCTGCCCCGTGCTCTCTTTTCTCGGTATGGAAATCGACTCGGTCGCCATGTCCGCGCAGCTTACAAGCGAGCGCGCGCAGTCACTGCTGACTTGCCTGCGCCAAGTCCAGAGCAAGAATGCGGTTCCACTGAAACTATTTCAGAGCCATGCTCAAAGACCAACATGTACTGGTCCGTACGGACAATACCGCAACCATAGCGTACATCAACCATCAAGGAGGTCTACGCTCTCGCCATATGTCACAACTCGCTGGCCACCTTCTCCTATGGAGTCAGAAGCATCTGAGGTTGCTTCGTGCTATCCACATTCCCGGTGACCTGCAAAGCTGGCCGCGGGGCCTCCGCAAGTATGCGTTTCCCCCAGTGAGCCTTCTCGCACAGACCCTGTGCAAGATCAGGGAGGACGACGAGCAGGTCCTTCTGGTTGCGCCCCATTGGCCCACCCGGACTTGGTTCTCAGACCTTATGCTCTGACCTAACGCCACAGCCCCTCCCTGGCCTATACCTCTGAGGAAGGACCTCCTTTCTCAGAGACAGGGCACCCTTTGGCACCCTCATCCCGATCTATGGAACCTGACGTGTGGCTTCTCAACGGGACGATGCAGGTTTGAGTACCCTACCACCAGCGGTGGTGGCTACCATCACTTCCTCTAGAGCATTGTCCACGAGACACCTCTATGAGTTGAAGTGGAACCTCTTCGTCTCCTGGTGCTCTTCTCGCCAAGAAGACCCCAGTACTTGCCCTATCAGTGTCGTGCTTTCTTTTCTTCAAGATTGGTTGGAGAGAAGGCTGTCTCCCTCCACTCTAAAAGTCTATGTCGCCGCCATTGCCGCACATCATGTTTTAATTGACGGTAGGTCCGTTGGGAAGCACGACCTGGTCATCAGGTTTCTGAGAGGAGCGAGGAGACTGAATCCTCCTAGCCTTCCTCTCGTACCCTCTTGGGACCTCTCAGTGGTCTTAGCTGCCCTGAAGAGTGCTCCCTTTCAGCCTCTGCAGTCAGTGGAGCTAAAGTTCCTGTCAATGAAGACAGCACTCCTGATTGCACTGGCCTCCGTTAAGAGGGTAGGGGACCTGCAGGCATTTTCAGTAGACGAAGCGTGCCTGGAATTCGGGCCGGCTAACTCTCACGTGATCCTGAGACCCCGGCCTGGATATGTGCCCAAGGTTCCTACCACTTCCTTTCGAGCTCAGGTAGTGAACCTGCCCCTGGAGGAGGCAGACCCATCCTTGGCGCTGCTCAGTCAAGTACGCGCTCTCCGTGCCTACGTAGACAGGACGCAGTGTTTCAGGACCTCAGACCAGCTCTTTGTCTGTTATGGTGGGAAGCTGAAGGGAAAGGCTCTCTCGAAGCAAAGGCTGTCCCACTGGATAGTGGGACAGCGAGATCAGGTAGTGAACCTGCCCCTGGAGGAGGCAGACCCATCCTTGGCGCTGCTCAGTCAAGTACGCGCTCTCCGTGCCTACGTAGACAGGACGCAGTGTTTCAGGACCTCAGACCAGCTCTTTGTCTGTTATGGTGGGAAGCTGAAGGGAAAGGCTCTCTCGAAGCAAAGGCTGTCCCACTGGATAGTGGACGCCATTGCTTTGGCTTACCAGCAGCAAGGCCGACCGTGCCCCCTTGGTGTGACGGCCCACTCCACCCAGAGTGTGGCCTCCTCTTGGGCTCTTGCGCATGGCGCCTCGATAACAGACATCTGCAGAGCTGCAGGCTGGGCGACACCCAACACATTCGCTAGATTCTACAATCTCCGAGTGGAGCCAGTATCCTCCAATGTACTCGCTTCAACTAGCCGGTGCTCAGGTGTCTTTGCTTGCTCGCCATTCCACTCCACGGACTGGATCAGTGCGATATTCTCCTCAGGTGAGTTTCCCCGAGAAGCCCTGAGTTCCTCCAGCGCTGTTGACGTCAACGCCAGAGTTATGCCGCTGGCAGCTTTCACGTTGGCCAGGTACCCCATGTGCATGGTTCCCCTCTGGCGACCCCCACGTGTGTATTTCCACTGTAAGACTCCTTGAGCATGTGTCTTTTCCTCGGCAAGCCACCTTACAAGCCCTGGGGTTGAAAGATTCCACCCTTCGGGCTGGACACTCCAGTGTTCTTCCATATGCATCCCTTCGGGGTCATATGTGTATTCTGTAAGACCTCCCTTCGGGCAGGCAGTCTGTTGCATATTTCTACTGAGATATGCTTTTCAGTGTACCTTGGTATTCCTGTGCTAAATAGGAGTCCTTCCTCCGTGCTAACTTCACGACAGGGATATCAGATTTGCGCAGGGCACTGGAAGACAGCTGTGAAGATGGAGGGATTCGACTGGTAACCCCAATCGTCGTCATCCGACGGAACTCGGAGTGACAACTATGGGGAACGTCTCGGCCCCCCCCAAGTAGGGAACGGAGACGTTCCGTCTTTTGGCCACTTCCGCTGTACCGCTGGACACGCCTGAGTTCAGTCTCGGCTCCTCAGCAGGAAAACATAACTGCGTGATGCAGCGTACTTCCTTATATTACGCTATGCAAATTCCGCAGACCCATGGCATTTTCTTGCCATTGGCTCGTTTTGTAATACTCGAAGGTGATAGGCTTCTAAGCGAAACCCCAATCGTCATCATCCGACGGAACGTCTCCATTCCCTATTCGGGGAACGAGGGTTACATACGTAACCGAGACGTTTCTCTGCTACTATACATCTGTTTAACAAAAACTCTGTTTGCTTACCCAAAAAACAGTTTTTTTAGAGGGCATGGCTGCACTCTTGAAAATGAACTTCCATGTGCTTTTTAGCAAAAGGAGAACACTCGGCCCAACCAGAACAAAGCCGATGCCAAGTAGGGCGGCCGGCTTCTTTTCTGAACATATAATCTCAGTGTTATTGTTCCCAAATGTTATCATGTCTGTAAAGAAAAAAAAATAGTTTCAGTCAAACCGAGCCTTTTATGTAATATTCAATAGACAAGTTAATTGTTATCCTATCATCCAAAAATGATTAGCCAATGATTAATAAAGTAGCTCACTTTACTGAGCAGCGCAAGGGCAAAGACAAGTACGCCAACTATGGCACACGAGAACCATTTCAAACACTGCACTCGTTTCTTTGGTATCTGCTCATCTTGAATAATCGGCACTTCTCTGCACACATCCCAAGATTCTTCCCTGTTTGGGAAGAAAAAAAGGGAATAGCTTAATCGAATATTTTTTTTTAAATTGGTATTTATCATGCTAGAGAGATTGAATGAATATGCCAGGTATAGGTAAATAATTGTTCCTGGTCCTTTTTTAAAGATGTTTTAAAAAGTGGTGGGGAGAATATCGACCCTGGCAAAAAAGTGGTGACGTGCGTTAATGTAAACTGTATTTCAGACGCCCCCTCATCAGCGCTCGGCTGGCGCCGGCTCTGAGTCAAATGAAATACAATAAACGTACAAATAAATATTACAAATTAAAAAACGATTGTAAATGTTGTCCAATTTTCTAATACTATTATTTGATGACAACAATAAATTTGGAAAACAAAATACAGCCATTTCTGCTTTTTTTTTCTTTTAAACAAAAAACCAAGCTGCACCCTTTTTTAAATTTCATCTTTCATTCCGAAATAGAATAATGATTGAACGAAAAAGTACACGGACCCAAAGGCAACTATCCATTGATATTGTAACTAAATGTCTGGTTTCAATTTTTCATTTTTCCATTTGCATTGTATGGTCTGAAAATTTAATTGTGAAGCGTTACACGCGCGACACTGATAAAAATGATTTTGTGGTGAAGTAAATTCTACAGAAAAAAACAATGTAATTTACATGAAAAAGTTAGTTCAGGCAAGAATAAAAAAAAAAAAAAAAGTAAATTCTATAGTACACTGAAAACATTTTGGAGTAGGATTTACTTGGAAAAAAGCTAGGCAACTTTTTTCACTCAGAAAATGCTTGTAAATTTACAAAGATTTGCCAAGTAAAAACCTAAACATATTTATCAGTAGCTTTAAATTCATCAGTTCATTTATCAGTTCAAATTTACTTGGAATATGGAATTAAGTAAACTTCAAAGAAAATAAGTAATTTTAATTTGGCTAGTAAAAGGTTGATTAATATCGATTTAGCTGTAATTTCCTTTGCATTACATTTCACTCAAACAATTTTATTGAATTATACCAGTCATTTATAGTATGTGTTTTACTTAGAGTATCAAAGTAATTTATATTTCATGTCAGATGTTAAGCATGATGTGAATGCAAAGAACTCAATACTTGGTAGACAATACACAATGACGGTAACATTTGATGGATCGTTTTTGTGTTTGAATGTGTCATTTTGAGCAGAAAATTTACTCGAAATGTCACAAAATGGCAAGTTACTAATCCTGACAACAAAAGCAATGATAAAACAGTGTAAATACAGCTGGAAACCAGTGAAAAATTAACCTTATTAATTATTCAAGGTCCAGTGCATGATAAGGAAAACTTCAACCAAATAGATATTACTCAGCTTTTTATTAGTTAAGTAAAACTTACTTAATTTATTTTACTTTCACATAACTTAGTTAAGTATAGTTTACTTAATTCTGTGTGAAATTTACTCAAAAAATATTAGTGCAAAAAAAAAAAAACTTGAAACTAAATTTTACTTATTGTTTTTTTTTGTGTGACCGTTCTTTATAAAGAAATCAATTTGGGAGAAAGTGGAATAATAAAACATTTTAATTAGAAAATAAGCATTTAGCTGCATAACTAAATGTTTGTGGAGATCTAAATTTGAATTATTTAATATAAAGTTGATAAATGAAAAACAAATAATGATTACCTGAATTCAAGGCTCTGCTGCTGTTCCATAGTGATGTTTGCAAGGCAGCAAAAACCTTTGATTAACCATATATACAACAGACCAGAGCCTAATAACCTAAATCCCTTCTAATTAACGGATTATACTAAGACACACAATTACAGGGAATAAATATTGTAATGCCACACTATACAATGACATTCTAGAGAATTCTCTGCTTCCAACTAATGACATTAGTTTAGGGGGTAATGCTCACACACAATATGCACAAGGAAACGGTGTTCTTGCTAATGAAGAACTACAGCAGTTGACCTACAGCACACAAAGACGAAATCACTCAGATCTTTTCACTTGCCCATTTTTCCTGCTTCCAACACATGAAATTCAAAAACTGACAGTTCACTTGTTGCCGAATATATCCCACACCTTGACAGATGCCTTTGTAACAGTTTAATCAATGTTATTCACTTTACCTTTCAGTGGTTTTAATGTGGCTGATCAGTGTATGTCTTGCATATCGACAGTATTTGCATATTTCGTCTTTGTGTGCTGTATAATTAATAAGGTTCATTTTTAATTTACTCTATAAGCTATTCCACCCGAAAGCTTGTTACTATATAAACTTGAATATGTTAGTTTATAAGTGTGTAATATTATGTTTTAAAAAAGTATTTAATAAGCTACTCAATCAAAATAGTAAACACAAGTACAAGCCAAGAATACTTTGAATACTTAATTATACTTTTAAGTATATCTCGATCAACAAGTATAGGCCAAATACTTAGACTTTTCTGTCGGTATAAGTCAAGTATACTTAAGTGCAATTTGAAATATATTTTTTTGAAGTACATAAAGTATATTTCTGAGAAGTACATAAAAAGTAGACTGAAAGTGTACTTTCTTATTCTTATTTTTTTTATAAAAAGTATACTAATAGCACACTTGAATAAACTTATTTTTCGGAAGGGTTAAGGAAAGTTAGTTTCTGGGTTTGGGAATTCATTTTCTTACTGTAAAGTACTACTCAGAGCATATAGTCAGAATCTGGAATCATTAAAGTCCCCGTGAACCGGAAGTTGCAAACGACTTTTCTCCAGTGTTGTGACGTATTTCCGAGAGAAACGGAATACTAAATGAGGCAAAATGGTGGGCGTGGCTTTTTTACCAACTAGCACCTGATTGGATCTAGAAAAGTAGGTGTTTTCATTCAGCCTGTTTACTGTCAGTTGGAGGGGCGTGATTACGGATGTTAAGAAGACGCCCAAACCGTGAAACCTACGTCATCAGGCAAGGTCCTCCAACGCAGAGGGGAGGGGAAATTTCAGACTTTGATTAAAGATTACAAAGCCAAAAAAAATTTTTGTGTGGATTGACTTGCATGGATGAATTGTTCACCACAAAACGATCAATTTAGGCAAACAAAGTAAGTATGGTCAATTTTGAATTCATGGGGACTTTAAACTGAAACCTAGTTGCAAGCAGAGATAGACCTCCTGCTTCCGGAACGCGGAGTAGGGATTCAGAACTTCCGGTCAACAGTATTTGTAGTAGTAAAAAACTACACTACCCACAATCCTAAGCATAGCAGCAACGTCTGCTGATTGCTCCAACTCGCTGTTACCATAGAAATGTTTACCTTACTGGCGAACGGCTAGAGCTATAACAACAATGGCAGGCTACACCCGCAGCTGTTGTTGTAGTGTACACTTTCCTCAGTTTTGACGTTTCCACTTGAGAGTTTTCATTTACCATCCGAACCACATCGTCATGTTACTTCAGGCAGGTTACGGAGAAATTTGGTCCAGCGGTATCTATCGGACTCCGCCAATGTAAAAAGCTAACCGGAAGAGCCGTATCCCTACTAAAAGACGTAGTTCCGGTCTTCAATTTTTTTCGTGACATAGGCCTATAAACCGTCTTATCAGATGTATACCATGTTACCATGGTAACTGAGGCCCTTCTTGCCCCAGCTGGTCCTTTGGGGATGGGTCCATAGACACCAGAGTGAGTTTTAAAGATTATTTGTTAAATGCAATTATGTTACTATACAAATAATTGTCTGATTTGTCTCAGTCGTTACACTGCTGTGATTTCCTGATAAAACGTGGTGATTCTCATAATCCCAAAACTCAACCATTGACTCAGAGTCTGAGGTGGTTGGAGGTGAAATTATCACAATCTGGGTCTTGTAGTTTGATCATCTTCTCATTGCGATTGGTGCATAATCTACACAGACGTCCTCTTCAACTTTCTGTGGAACATGAAATAATAATAATAAATAATGTGATATATAGTTTAATCGAAGTAACAAGACTTTTAAACATCTAATGGTGCTGTTGTGTTTCGTGATTTATATGAAAGATAGATCATTATAGTAGTGTTGTCACGATACTAGAATTTCTAACTTCGATACGATACCTTGAAAAATATCGATATTCGATACCATTTTCGATACCACGGAGAAAAAACTGCCACAATATTAAGGGGGTATTTTTTTAATTTAAAGCTAAATATAACAAGTCTTGACAATGAGGTATATTTTACATGAACAAAAATGTCCTGAGTTCTATTTGTTTATATTTTTTAATTGGACCAGAGCTAACATGATGTATTTTTATTACCTACTGTTATCAAAGATTAAAATATACTGTAACAAAAAAGCACTTAACAGTATCAAATTGGAGGATAGAGAGTCAGTAATGTATAATAAGATTAAACATTCAATTTTCAGTTAAAGGCATGTCATTATTGAATTTAGAGATGCCATTGTCTAGCTGTTTAGTTTAATTAATGTCTAGCTGTTTAGTTTAATTAATATCTGTGTAATCAAATTGATGATAATCGCTAATGAAGGAAAATTGCAGAATTAAATAATAATTTTTGAATAAAGTTAAATAGGCACCAGTTAATTTACATTTGACCACAGTTACAATATTTACTTGTCTAAGATTCCTCAGTCAGATTATGTTAACTTTAAGAATTAAAACGAGACAACACAGACTCCTATCAACAACAATACTAGGCCATCTTGGTTAATGTTTCAGAAAAGTTCAAATGAGAAGAGTTAGTGTTTCCTTGAGGATTTTTTTTAGCAGTGGGGGCAGGTCTGTCCAAACAACAAACACCCCTGATGCTGAGCATATGCTGCTAAATAGTAGCCTACCCCTGGAGCCTGTTCCTTAAGTCTGTTTTCACCTATATAATAATTTTAAAAAATGAGTGATGTGAGGGATTATTGATAGTCAAACAATCTGTTGGGTGCCCGCTCGCGGTGTGTAGCTCGTGTCCGCGCTATTCCGACATGCCCGCTCGCGGTGTGTAGCTCGTGTCCGCTCTATTCTCCGCTTATACTGTCTATGATTCTCCGACATGCCCGCTCGCGGTGTGTAGCTTGTGTCCGCGCTATTCTCCGACATGCCCGCTCGCGGTGTGTAGCGCGTGTCCACGCTATTCTCCGACTCCGACATGCCCGCTCGCGGTGTGTTTTTTACGCGTGTCCGCGCTATTCTCCGACATGCCCGCTCGCGGTGTTCTTTATCAATCAACCAAAGCCGGTCGCGGGGGCGCCGCCCTCGCCATCTTTCCATTCACTTCACATTTGCTATTTAACCAGAGCGAATGAGACAAGTGCGTCACGTGTGGTGTTTGTCAACGCGCCTTTTGAGAGAAGTGAAAGGGCTAGTATCGATACTTCGGGAAATTAGTATTGGTACCGTTCAGATATTTCAGTATCGATATTTATCGAAATATCGATATTTTTGACAACACTACATTATAATATGGAAGTGTCACCGGTTGAACAAACCGGGAACCAAAAAAATGGTTGACTCGTTTCCAGGGGGACGAAATGCCGGTGTAACACCGGGCCGGCTCTGTTTTTACCTGTCATGGCCGCCGATCATAACAAGCGCCAGCTGAAGCCTGTGAGTAGCGCTTCATTGAAGCATGTGCCGGGAAGGAAGGAGTATAAAGAGAGGGGCTCGACGCACAGGAAGGGGGAAAATGCTCTGGCAATTGGAAAGCTCCACAGGAGTGCTCGAGGGGATGGCGGCAGTGACCGTGAGCGGCGGCAAGTGCGGAAAGCTGAGGTTTAATGCCTGATCGGTGTTCCATGTTGGGTCCCCCGAGGCATGCTCATTAAGTGAGTCCTTTTAGAAACCACGAACAGCAACGCAACGAAGTAAGTGAGAAAGTCATACAGAGGAAGAAGGAGAGTGACTGGCAGAAAAGAGAGTGGAAACCCGCTGCAGGATTCACGTGATCCACCGAGGAAAAGTTAAGTGCACCCCTTTATGATTCACCTTTTGGAGAAAGACACATGTGAAGATTGCCATCACCAGTGTACGACTAACCTGTGTTTGTGGGCAGAGTGTGTTATTCCAATATTCTGTGGTTCATACATCCTATGAAGGAAAGAGAAACGAGTTGATTAATGGCTGTGAAGATAGAGTGAGTTTGCAGTGTCTAAAAGAGTGAATTAAACACGTGTGGAGATTTACAAGAGTGATTTATGCACTAGTGTGGTGAGATCAAACAACTGTCTTCTCTGAGTTTCTGACGGATGAAATTGACCCATAACTTTGAAGATTCTTTCGAATTGATCTGTCCCCTCAGCTGTGTCCAGGTCCCTGAGATCGTGTGCAGGGTGCAGGGGAGAAAAGCTCAACACACCTTTAAAGCCACTTTCTGTCCCACGAGCTGATTCAACGAGTCTGACGACGAGAAAAGCCACTGTCTGTCCCACGAGCTGATTCAACGAGTCTGACGACGAGAAAAGCCACTGTCTGTCCCACGAGCTGATTCAACGAGTCTGACGACGAGAAAAGCCACTGTCTGTCCCACGAGCCGATTCAACGAGTCTGACGACGAGAAAAGCCACTGTCTGTCCCACGAGCTGATTCAACGAGTCTGACGACGAGAAAAGCCACTGTCTGTCCCACGAGCTGATTCAACGAGTCTGACGACGAGAAAAGCCACTGTCTGTCCCACGAGCCGATTCAACGAGTCTGACGACGAGAAAAGCCCATGCCTGTTCCTGCTTTTATTTTTT